TCATCATTGCTTTTAAAAATTCACTAGTATTTTATAATATGCTTTTTATGCTTATTTGACTTTCAGCCCAAACCTTGTCAGTATTGCAACATAATTGCTGCATTCATTGGCAATAAATGTCAACGCTGTACAAATTCAGAGAAAAAGTACGGACCACCCTATTCCTGTGAACAGTGCAAGCAGCAGTGTGCATTCGACAGGAAGGATGATAGAAAGAAGGTAAATCCCTATAATTTTCTTGATATAGATATTTGTTTCCTTCTGTAAAATTAAAAGTAGACCGCTTGTGTTAAAAAGATAATGTATAAATGTGTTACTATTGTTTTAAGATGAACGAATACTTTAAAGCTTTCAAAAACAAAAACGAACAAATGATTGAGAAAGACTTCTCAGTGCCTCTCCAGTGCTGGTGCTGGCCTTGGAGAGGGCTTCCAGCCTTTGCTTTTCTCGCTTGTCAGTGGTAGGGCATTACAGTCTAGTGGTGTTTTGCTTAGCATTTCACCAGAACTTGAATGACTGATCAATATCCCATATATAAATAGACTCATACTGGTAGAATTCTGTGCAGCTCTGTACAGGAGAGATGGTGACTTCAACAAGGTATTTTATCTGGTATTTTCCTGTTGGCTCTTTAAATATTTTTATCTGTTGACGTGAAAGACCATAAGAAGGTGCTGTAGGAGGAGAGTCTGGCCATGTACTTCTCCTGCTTAAAACCTTCCAGTGGCTTCCAGATGCACATAGACTAAAACTCAAACTTCTTCTGTGGCCTGCAAGACCAGGGCCTGCCTCTCACTCTTACGGTTCATCATGTTTCCCATCTTCCTAGCGGATGCATCTTGTCCCCAGACTTTCACAGTTGACAGCTCTTGTCAGATCTCCGCTCACAGCCATCTTCTTTGAAGTAATCCCCCTCTGGAACACTATCACCTCACCTTATTTTATTTTCTTTGCAGCACACAATGCTGTGAGAAGTGATTTATTTACATGTTTGTCCACCACACAAGGCTGTGAGCTCTTTGTTCACTCGGGTCTCTGCTGTCTTTCTAATGGCCTGGTTAATAGTAGGTGGATAAGAAATATTTGTTGAAGGAAAAAATGCAATTCAGAAACTCTTGCAAAAGAAGCTGGCAGTGCTTAGGCGCTTAAGGACGGACGCCTAGCCAAATTCATTAATTTGCAATGGAAGGATGTAACTTTTCAATGACCAAAAGTTTCCACCTTACCAACCAGGGCCCCTTTCTCCTGAACCAAGATCCTGGAGAAACTGAATTAGTCAGTCATCGGGTAGCATATAATAGGAGCACAAACTTCATAATCTCACACACCTGGATCCCCTCCCATTCCTGAGACTAGCTGAATGATGTTGGGCAAGTTACTTAAACATTTGTTGTGTGTCAATTTCCTCGCCTTTCCAATGGGAATAATAGTAACTACTTCACAACGACGGGATATTTAACTGAAGTAAGTATATAAAACACTTAATTTTGAGTTTGGCAAATAACCACATGAAAGATAGCAATATACATCTCATATGTATACTTACGTTCTTGTTCACTGAAATAGTGAAATCTGGTTCCACTAGAATTCAATTTCTGTTTTCTCTGTTAACCATTCTGTTTTAAGGGTTTGAATAAATGAGCATGCTTCTAAAAGTTCATGGAAAAATAGAAAGATGACAGACTTTTTCCTTGGATTTTTGAAGGTCCACTCCTATTTATCTACCCTAAATCAGGGGTCCTCAAACTACGGCCCGCGGCCCACATGCGGCCCCCTGAGGACATTTATCCCGCCTGCCGGGTGTTTTTGCCCCGTTTTGTTTTTTA